CCTGTTTAAATATGTTTGCAACAGGCTCCAAACCTCGCACAATCTTATGATAAAGCCTGTACATCCTGGAGAGATCATCCACCTTGTCATCTCTCAGCAATGCACGGCACCCTGAGTGCTCTTTTTCTAGAAGCTGATTTGCATACACTACCAACAACTCATGTTGTACTTTCTGCGTACAAACGATAAATATAGAGGTCAAATAGATATCAATATTTAAAATAGTATACACTCGGTCTTTATAATAGTAGATTTCCTGTGAGTCCATGCATAATGAAATAATGTTCTGCATAATGTATCATAACCAACCTCAACCAGCTTTGGCTCACTGCTTGAGTGAAGGTAGTGGGCCACCCTCTCCCTCTCCTTCTTTAGACATTCTTCAGACTGCAACATGAAAGTACAGAGGTAAATAAATACATTTTATTAATGTGCAATCAAAAGACAATATAGAAATGTATATCATAAGTCATGCCTTGAGCATATAATCCGGACAAGAATCCTCCTGGATCCAGCTTGATGCCTTGCGAGAATAGTAAGACGCTGTGTCTTGAAGCATGAAGCTTTCAAAATCTTCTTCATATCTTTCCATCTGTCCCATACCAATCTCTACATAAATATCTAATACGTTTTTCAGTAGAGCCCTATCAATCTGCTCGCCCTCCCGTTCCTTATCAACCTGACATATAAAAACACCTCATGTTACAAAAACCAGAGCTGGAGATAAATGCACATTATGACTGTGATACTTACAAGTGCTATAACAGCTTCTTTGACCTTGGAGTGCAGCTCATTATAAACCTGAAGCAAACAAAATCAGGGAACAGTTAAAACCTTTTCAATACAATGGAAAGCTTTAGAGTCACAAGAATGAATGTCAAACCAGGTCACGGAAGCATGTCAGGCCAACTTCATTCAGTGGTGGAAGTGATCTCCGAGCAATGAAGTAACGGTCAAGATAGTAGAAGAATCGAGATAGCCATCTAACCATAACTTTATGGTTAGCCCATCTTTTGACCAACTCCCGCAGCATATATTCATCATGCTTCTCCCTTAAAGCAGGCAAAACCTAAACACAGAAAACAAGAGAGAAAATAATCAAACGGTTTGAAAAAACTCAAGAGTCAACAGCGTATGCGACTTCTTGGTAAATGAAACCATGCAAAAAAGTGAGACCTTAAGGTTCAGACAATGAGTAAAGGTAGTACAAACTCCACAGGGAGTTAATGTAACATAGAAACTAAATATCAATCAGACTCACAGTTGAGTTAATGTATTCCTCAAATGCTTCGCGATACTTGTCATAAAGCTGCTGTGAGTAATCATGAGGAGGTTTCTGAGTGCACATGTTGTAGATGGTCCTGAGAATCACATAAAAACCCCCAATGGTAAGTACCAGTTACAAAAATCATACTGCTATATATAAGCACTAAACAAGTATAAACACATACGTGTAAAGCATCATATATTGCTCAGAGTCAAATGCCGGCTCAGGAAGTCCTTCCAGAATCCGTTTCAGCTTGGTAATACCAGTCTGCATATAGTCCCATCCTTGGTCCAAATCAATCGTCTTCCGCTCCATGTTGAGAACGAACCTAGAACGGTCTCCTGAACCTACGCTTAACCAAAGACGAAACAGAAAACCAACGTTTAGGACAAAGAATAAAACGACAGAGAACGAGAGGAACAACAACAACACAATAATACCCACATTATCACCCCCAACACAAAATCCCAAACTATCAGATTGTAACAAAAACAGGAAAACGAAGTATAAGAATCAATAGAGATACTCGAGAAACAATCAAAAACCACGAAATTACACAGTACCAAATGCAATCCAGATAAACCGATGGAACCCTAACAATCCCGATCCCAAATATACACACAAAAAACCCTAGATAGACGA